GCTATCTGCCAGTGGTACATACCGTGCAGGGGCCTTTCCTGCCATGATGGTTCCTCGCCTTCCTCCTCTTTCTTGGGTCTCTGTTGCCTGAGGTATTCATTGAGCACGCTGTCAGTTGGGGCCATCTTCCTGATGTATTCGTGGATGTTCCTTGTCTCATCCTGGACTGTGGTGCTGACACTCACCAGCCCATGGCCTACCTCCTTCCACTTAGCGTACAGCCTCAGGGTGCTGGACTTGGAGTGAAACTTTCCATGGTCAGGAGCTTTCTTATCTTTATGTCAGTGGCTTCTATCTCCTCCTTTGGCCAGCTTATTATCCCAGCCAGGCACCTGATCACAGGCAGGGCGTAGGTGTTGATAGCCCGGATCTTGTTCTTACCATTCAGCTGAATCCTCAGGACCTGCCTGACCCTCTGCAGGTACTTGGTGGTTGCAACTTTCCTACTGGCCTCTTCATGGAACCCATTTGCCTGTGTGATCCCCAGATAATTGTAGCTGTTCTCTATGTATGCAATGTTGCCTTCTGGTAGTTTGATCCCCTCAGGTCTGACTACCTTCCCTCTCTTTGTTATCATTGGACTACACTTCTCCAGTCCGAACAACATTCCGATATCATTGCTGTAAATCCTGGTGGTGTGGATCAGTGAATCGATGTCTCGTTCACTATTGGCATACAGCTTGATGTCATCCATGTACAGGAGGTGGCTGACAACTGCTCCATTCCGTAGTCAGTATCCGTAGCCAGTCTTGTCAATGATCTCACTGAAGGGGTTAAGGCCTATGCAGAACAGTAGTGGGGACAGAGCGTCTCCTTGGTAGATGCTCTTGATAGTGACATGAGTTATGTACTTGCAATAGGCCTCTAGTGTTGTACACCACATCTCCATTGAGTTCCTGATGAAGGCTCTTAGGGTCCTGTTGATCTGTGTGGGGATGGTGTTCTTTGGGTTGAAGGCTTTTCCTTTTTTTACGCCAAATGAAGGAAACGTCATTGTGACCAAACAATTTATTCAGAAGACCAGAAGTCTTGTTCTTTGTCCAGATGAACAGTTCCCAATTAATCAGGGTATTTAGGATGCTTTAGAACCGCTTGGATTCTTTGAAATGGTATGGAACTTTGGATTTTCCCAAAGACTGTGAAAGTTTGTGAAGGGTATGCATAATTCTGGACATAACACTTTTTGCTCAAATGCAAATAAAAGCTGAGAATTTTTTTTTTTCCACAAAAATGCCTCTTGCACATCGTCTCATTATCTTTTGGGAAACACCGGTGTCATTTCCCATCAAAAAATAACTTGCTAGTTGAATAAAACTATATTATGGGCCAGACTGTATGCTTTCTGGCTGATGTTTTGGTCAGTTTTCAATGCTGGCAGTGATTTCACTCTAGCGGTAGCATGAGACGAAGTCTACAACCCACACAAGTGGCTCAAGTAATGGAGCAATCCAGGATTGCACATCAATGCAGAGACTGTTCTCACTCCCAAGGCGTAACATCCCGACGTTTTGTCACGTCCCGCGGGGATCCTAAGGAACGTGAAAGGGGACCTTCAGCATTCTTATGGTACACGCCAGGTTATGGATGAAATCCAGTGGAAGAACGCTCCCGCGGTACTAGACGTTCCAGCCCTGTATTCCAGTCCTAAATCTAACCTTATCCCTAAAGAGGTCATAAGAGAAAACAAGTTACGTAAGACAAGAAAAAGTCACGAAAAACAAACAGAGAGAAAAGTAGTAAACAACTTAAGACAAATAGGTCAAAATTAAAGGGAAACAAGCAAAGTAAGACAAGAAAGTCATGCAAAGAGAAAAAAAACAGAAACAAAAAAAAAAAACAGAAACAAAAGCAAGAACGAATTTTTAAGAAACACAAGTTTGAAACCCAAGAGTGGGAGGAGCTAAGAAAGAGTATAAAAGCCAAGACAGGGACAGACAAGACAGAAGTCAAACACACACAAGACAACACACATTGGGCCAGCCTGAAGAAGGCAAAGAAATGCCGAAACGTTGCGAGGCCCCAATGATGTAAAATGCGCATACATCCAAGATGGATAATTTTTTGAAACAGGGCAGGGACATCACCACCAGGCCCCAATGATGGCCCGTTGTTGGCTCTTAGGTGACGGTTTCCTCGTGACTGTGTGCAGCGGGGCTAGGGGAGGGTCTGTGCTGACGGACGTGGGTTACTGACTTGGTAGCCTGGCTGCCCCTGGGTAGTTCCGGGACAGGCGTGAGGTTCTGGGGGTGCTCGGTCTCTGGGCTGGGGCCCTGGCTGGGCCTTGGGTCCTGGTTAATGTGTTGCCGGGGCTGTGGGCGGGTAGGTGTATGGGGGCCCAGCCCTGGCGCAGGGTCCCGCCAGTGCATCGAGCCACCTGGGGGGCTCTTCAACTGATGGAGAAGGCTGTTACATCTTGCAGGAGGTCTCCTCTCTTCAGGAACTCACACTGCAGGAGGGGAAAATATAGGAGAGGTATATGAGCACGCGGAGCGAGGTTTGGAGTCCTCACACACCCCCGTTCTCTGTGGCCTGTGGGAGCGGGGGGCGCTAGGAAGAGGAGTTGGCCGTCCGATGGGGGTCTGGAATGTGGGGCCTCCCTGCTGCTGCCGAGTCAGGGCAGTCTGCTTCTCTCCACCCCAGGGAAAAGGGTAACACTACTGGGTCTGGGTGCAGTTTCCCCCTCCAGGGGCCTGGGGCTCAGTCACTCTGGCACAGCTGGCTGTCGGTGGAGCTCACGGGCACATCACTGCAACCCCCCCTGGCTTCTGCTCCGCGGCTGCTGAGTGACCCCTCATCTGGGGCTCTCCCCAGCTCTTTCTGGGATAGTGGCGCAGCTGCCCCTCTGTTGGTCTTCCTTGGTCTCTTGTGCTCTGAGGGCCTCTGGATGTCTGGAGTTTTGATCTCCTCCATACCTGCTTCATACCCTGGAGGACTGGGCTGTGTCTCCCCACACCCTCTAGCAGATCATTACATGAAGGAACCTTTTAAATACAAGTGCGTTGATGCTCACAGGTGTACACACGGGTGCTCACAGAGGAGAAAAGAAAAAAAAAGAAAAAGAAAGGAGAAAAAAAAGAGAAAAAAAAGAAAAAAACAATACCTCCTAAATTACTTCCTCAACATGTCTCTAAGTTCTACTGAGGCCTCGTAATAAACTAATTATCTGATTCAGGTGTATTGACCCAGGGTGATATCTAAAACCTGCAGGACACTGGCATTTAAGGACTGCAGTTGCCTACCCCTGGTTTATCACATAATTATCAATGAAATGTTTTCATTAGACTTGTCTACTGATAATACATCAGAGACATGAAACAGCAGCCCTGTCTAGAACTGAACTTTATTCATGTATTTCAAAGTAGCTTCTTACTCAGCTCATATTTGTCCTGCTCCTGATCATCCAGTAATGGACCACCTCCATCTTCACAGATGGAAAACAGCTGCTGGTCGTCTGCAAAAGTATGTTTAATGTTAAATTTTAGAAAAACCAAATGTGACATGATAGAAGATAAATGAAAAAAAAGTTTCTAGCAATGTTAAGATCTGCATCAAGTTGATGAGTATCCTGTACTTTTATACACTGACCAGACACTTTATTAGGTACACCTTGCTAGTACCTAATTGCTTTAATTCTTTGTGGCACATATCCTTTGAGCTTGGGTCCTATACCAGACGCTTTGGAGGTTGAGGGTCCTAAGCAGTATCTTAGCTGTTTCTAGGACTGCAGTCTTCTGGACAGAGATCTCCAACGTTTTTCCTGGGATCTGCTGGAGCCAGTTGAGCCACACTAGGTGCGGAGCAAGGTTATTATCGTTAACGAAAACTAACGAAATAACGAAAACTAGAAATGAAAAAACATTTTCGTTTGATGTGTGTGATCATATTAATCACAAGAGAAAGAGAGAACTCTAAGGAATTAATATAGCCACTACAGTGACCATCAAAACCATGAAGAAATATTGGCGTACACAGTTTATTTTGCGACCCTACGAAACAAACGAAAGGTACAAAAAACGACGTATCGTCAGTTTCAGGCCAACCTCTGTAAACCCTAGATATGGTTGCGTGGGAAAATACCAGCAGACAGGCCAGTCTGGCACCAAAGACCTTTCTTTCTCACTCGGATTCTCATTTTGAGCTACTGTAGGTCGTCTTGGCCATTTGAAGACATCAAGTTGCTGCTATGTGATTGGCTCATTTGTTGTTTGCATTAACGAGAAGATGAAAGAGTGTACCTAATATAGTGACCGCTGAGTGCTTCAAAGCACTTCAATAAATGTTACAGGGGCTAAAACACCGACCTGCCTCCTGCTTTATCTCAGGCTGCAGGAGCTCCAGCAGTCTATTCTGCCGGTCGAGCTCCTGCCTGAAGCCCGCAGCCTCCTCCTCATAGTCGGCTACAGTCTGCTCCACCACCGATAAGATCTCCCGAGCGGCTGTGCTCAGTTTGTCAGTGATGATTCCTCTCAGTATGTCGCTCTTGGACATATTAGCGATGTCTGGCTCGCTGTCCCAGCTCTGCACCATCGTCATCATCATCGAGTCGCTCGTGAAATAATTTCTTTTTTCCCGCGTGGGAAAATGTTTCTGTCGGATGTTTAACCCTAGAAGTTTTTTACCGAGCTAGTGAACGCGCAAATGTTGTCCGGCTGGAAACATCAAAGGAAACACCATCCTAGGAGAAAATGACACATAGCACAGTAATAGACTATCACACTTATAATTATATCAGTATTTATGAAAAAAGAAGACACCCCCCGCCGCCGCCGCCGCCCAAAAAACCCATTTAGATTTATTTGGCACTCTAACTGCATTTCCATCACAATAACAGCAGGTTTTAATACATATAATAGGTAGAAATCATGATACATGTAGATTGTGCTCTGAGGGTTACTTAAAAAACTGTCGCCCCTGTGTTTTCCTGTTGCCTAATTGTAACTTTATTGTAATTATATTGCTCCACTTTCTGTAGAGTATGCAGGAATATTATTTATAAAAATATTTTTTAAAAAATTAAAAAATTTAGTATGGTATTTTTCTCGTTTGTGGTTCATGTTTCCACCCGGGCAGCATTTGCTGTTGTACGTCGCCTGTAGTGTAACATCCGTACCGCACGTTCCCCCACGCGCGTTAATTGTTTCGTCTCCGGTAAAGAAGTGAGCGGGACCCACGGAGCCCCACCATGGAGCCGGACTCATCCGACCCCAATACGTCCAAAACCGACATGCTGAGAGGAGTCATCGCCGAGAAGCTCACCTTGGCCGCCCGGGAGATCTTAGCGGTGGTGGAGAAGACTGTAGCCGACTACGAGGAGGAGGCTGTGGGTTTCAGGCAGGAGATTGACCGGCAGAGGAGATTGCTGGAGCTCCTGCAGCCTGAAGTCAAGTTAGAGGCTTTAGGTCTGTGTGTGTGGATAACAGAACAGTGTGTTGTTTCCTGCGGAGAGAGCGAGAGCTCGCGTAATGACGAACCCCGTTTACAAAACACTAATTTAATATTTCTTTGCTTGACGTGAAGCCCATTGACATTCGAGTATTCATATCAAAACCTGATTATAACACTCCTTAATTTGGTATACATGTAACACCCCTGAGCCATGTCATATTTCAGAATTTTAAGTTTTTATTGGCTCGTGGTAATGTCACAGAGCTAGCCGTTGCTTTCTCTTTAAGTGAAATCCGATGGGCTTTTAAAACCTTGAAATGTCGTTTAAAGTCAGCTACAGCTGCTATAAAACTCCCACTAGAATCATGACAGAGTCACAGAGTCGTCGGGACTTAAAAAACCCATCCTAGTGACGGATTTAAATAAACATTTTAAATCGTTTCCCAAGTTGCGCCGCTGTTCCCGAATCAAAACAAAGATGGCGGCCTGCCGGCTACATGGACACACAACGGTGTTTGTTCAAGCGCTGTGGTGCGATTTTACAGCGCTTGCCATGACTGTTTCTATTGAAATTTATTTAAATCAACTATAAAAAATACTGTGCTATAGTTAACACACAGCTGTGCTGTGAAACCAGCCGTTTTAAGCTCCCAACGTATATAATGTTTAGATATTAACCGTAACCTTTTTTGGGGGGGGGGGCGGGGGTGTTTGTTTTGACTTCGTCGTTCATCTTCACATTAATGTCTTTGCGAACCTTCAAATAAGCATTGACTTCTCTTGCTAATAATCACAGTCCTTTATTTATTTTTTTGTAGACACCCACTTTTTAGAACATATCCCTCATATATTTAATTTTTTTTTACAGCTGTCTATGTTTGGATCTGGCCTATGTCATGAAACGGGATATCCTTATATGTGCTCTCTAGCCTTCAAGTCTCTGCGAGGGGCAGCCAATAAGAAACAACTTGGTTAAAAAGGACTTGTGTCACTCAAGAACCTCTAGCAACCTACCGAGGAACAGTCATGTTTCCCTAGGAACCAGTTGTTGCTAAGTAGTTGTCAGCTGGCCTGTGTCCAAGGGTTGTTCCGTGTATGTAGTTTGTGTAATAGTGTAATAAGTTTTGTCCACGCATTTGCTAATAACAGTTCCACTTACATACATTTTATTGTCAGAGGGTAAGTTGGACCTGACCATTCTGGCTATATCCACAAGGGGTTGAAACAACAGGTAGCTCCATGTGCTTTGATTTGGCTGATTTTACACAAATATAAAGAGACTTTTGTCTCCTCCTGGGATCATACTGGGAATCTTTGGCGTATTAGGCCGATGTAGACACCACTACACTACTGGGGACACCTGCAAGTGTAAGAAAAGGACTTTCCCCTGGAAACACCTGCAGGAACGCAAAAGCCTGTATGGACACCAAATAGCTGCCATATGTGAAAGCTATTTGAATGTGGGAATCCTGGAGTCTGCAGTTTGTTTACATGTAAATCAGATGAATCTAAAGCTTAACTCATCTACTGCTGTGACTCAAGAGAATGAAACAGGTTGCTCGTTAATCAGCAGTATCATTAGAATCATCAGATCTGACAGATCATAAGAATAAGAATAATTCTGACGGGAAATCTTTTTTTTTTTGATTGTTTTGCTTTATTACTTAATAACACTAAAATGCTTCTATGGTGCAGATGACCAGCAGCAGTTTTCCCTTTGTGAGGCTGGAGGAGGTCGACTACCAGAAGATCAGGAGCAGCAGAAATATGAGCCGAGTATGACTTTTAACCTACTTTGATATACGTAAACAAAGTCATCATATTTATATTTGTAATGGATCAAGATACACAGAAACATAAGAGATGTTATTATCTTTTCTTTCTTTCTTTCTTTCTTTAAAAACACTGATGTTTGTTTGTATAAATGCAGTTCAAATTAGATGTGGTGTACTGCAGGGATTCACTCTGGGACCCCGTTGTTTCTGTTTATGTCATTTGGTACTTTTTATTTGACTTTGTCAAATGCATTGCTGTAATGAACAGTTTGTTGGGCATTATAACCTTCCAGTATTTTTCTCTTAGTAATAAGTGAATTAACTGAGCTTAATTTGAAGCTGAATTTCAGAAACAACAAAACTTCCCAAATTTGAGACATAAGACTGATAGAGTCAAACATTTGGAGTTTTTTAGCGTTCAGGTGAAAAATATTTGACTGCAATTTGACCCCAGTCAATGGACAGTTTCAGTTGTAATCACATGTTCACGCACTGAAGGGGAGAGTGTAATTAACCGTCCTACAGAACTGCTTTAATGTTCAGATAATGGTTGGTTCAAAGCTCTTAAAACTGCGGTTCTGTGACCCTTGTAGGTTGGTTTTTTTTTGAGAAGTGTTGCTGTTGTTGCTGATAAACTCAGACAAATGTGGACATTATCTTAAGTACAGCTTGAAAACGTTAAATATCAGAAAGATTGGCAGACTAAGAAGTGATAGAAGTGTTCGTTGGAGCCTCATATAATTATTGGTTTTTTTTAACAGCAAACAAAATTTGAAGACGAGAATTTAAGTAATAGTGTTTCTTCCTCTTCCTGACGCGGCATGTTAACTGTTGTTTATTCATGGTTGCACATTTGTATGATTAATGCTGTCATGTGGGAAAACTAAATAAATAAACTTTGAATTTGTTTCCAGGGGTGGAGGACAGCCAAAGCCTGGGATTCTCAGGCTACAGTGAGGAACAAATAGAGGAAGACGAACATGAAGATGAGGATGAGGAGGAGGAGGAGATGGCACAGCAATGTTATGAAGCAGCACCACGGTTACAAGATACAGACACACTGTAAGTGTACAGACACCGCTCTGTGTGTGCGCGTGCTGTTGTAACATTTGTGAGTCATCTGCTGATCTTGATGTTATTTTGTTCTTTTCCTTTTTTAGCCTCGTGCCTTCCACGGTTCAGACTGACAGACGGAGAGCAGACAGACCTTGGATCAGTGAAACGCAGAGTTTCGTGGACCTCAGGATCCGCATCCTGGACTCGATGATCGACGTGCTTTCAAAGAGGGGTGAGTGTGAGAAAAATGTAAATAAATGAACCATTACTGTTGCATCTTTAAGAGTTTGGATTTTACTCTGGATGTTTTTTCCCATATGATTTTAAACTGAGGACATGGAGTTTTATGGGCAATGTGACGGCTGCAGATACCTATAATGTATTTCAGCTTATTTGGAGCATTTGTAAAATACAGCTAAAGCACAGGAATGAATAAAAAGTCATGTTTTTTGTTTTTAATCAAAGCCTGTAGTCTGTGGGTGAAGCTTTTCCTGCAGTCTAGATAAAAACTTGTCTTTCCCTCTGCATCACAGTGTTTCAGAAGTACCCACTTCATGAGCTGCAGTGTCGTCGTGGCCTTCAGGAGGCCGACTTCCTGCATCTGCTTAGGTCAACCTTCCCCCAGCTGGCTGCTGATGAACCTTTTGACGTTTTTATAACTGACAACACCAGAAAGCTGCAGCCTCTGAAAATAGACTTGTGGACTCCGGAGGCGATCGAGAGGACCATCAGGGCAAATGGGAATTCTGCCCTCTACATCCGCCTGAAGGTAAGGTGCCTAATGTGTGACGCCCTCGCTGGAGTTAACTTCCTGTAAACTATGTTCTGGACTTTGCTCGTTGCTCTGATGGTGTCTTTTGGAGAATGAATCATTCAAGCATAAAAAGGCTCAAACTCAAGGGATGAACCAGTGTTGTGTCTACACAGAACAGAGGACTTGGCGTAGAATCAGTTTTAAAATAGATCTGCAGGGTATTCATTACCAGCAGCCTGTTTCAAAAACACAGTTTGTTTTCATTTCTTTAGTTTTATTAAATGAATCTATGAAAAATGCGAAAAGTAAAGCATTTTTGCGCCAACAAGGTGATTCCTGAAGAGCTGTTATGGTAAAAAAAAGTGTCATATCTCAGCATGGTGTGTGGTGAGATACAACAGTGGGCATCCACAGCCATCTGTAGAACATAGTGGAGGCTCTGTCATGATGTGGGGCTGCAATCCAGCCAGTCTAGTTGGGATCTTCTCAAAGAATCGTGAACAGTCCTGCAGTCTGACTTGTTTTTGTGCCATTTTTCTTAAAAAAAACTGTCAAAACATCTTTATTTCAGAATCAGCAGAGTTTAGAAGCTGAAGAGGAGCTTCAGCCATTGCACGGAAATAAAGATGCTGCTGAGCACATGAGGTACCTCAAGTATTCAAACGCTGCTGTAAATAACCAGTAAATATAGAGGACAAAAACAAACAGATACATCGTATATAAAAGGCTAAATTATTTGTTATAATGTTGTTTTTGACTTCTTTACTCTTTCAGGAAGAGGGCGGGCAGACCTGGGTTCAGGAAAACACAGACGCATGTAAAGATCAGAATCCGCATCCTGGGTAAAATGAAATCTGACGTGCTCTCAGCCAGAGGTGCGCCCAAGAAAACCTCCAGTTTGGTGTCTCTTTGGAAAAACTGTGTCTCTTTGTGACTGCGAAGTTAAATAATAAAAGCCTGTCCATGTGTGTTCATTGTTTTTCAGTGTATCAGATGTGCCCGCTTCATGAGCTAATGTGCCCTCGGGGTCTACAGGAAGCTGACTTCGTGGACCTGCTGAGGTCCACCTTCCCTCAGCTGACTGCTGATGAACCTTTTGACTTCTTTGTGACTGACAAAAGCAGAAAACTGAAGCCTCTGAAAGTACGGTCACTGACGACGGAGGAGGTGGAGAGGGTTACAAGGACTTCTACGCTCTACATCCGACTGAAGGTGCTGATTCACAAAGACCTTTGTCTGCTACTAAAAAGTCTTAGCAGACAAAGAAATAATCTGGTTTATTGTCTGTCTTTGTGTTTTCTGAGAATCTTGAGCATTTAAATAGGTTGTAAAACTCCACGTGTGACCAGTCAGGAGTGCCATTTGTACGGTGGCCCTGAGAGGCCAAATGGACTGCAACTTAAGAAAACACCAGCAATAAGAAAAACGCTGCAAAAGCACACAAAACACACAGAAATAGAAAAAACTAAAACAGAAATAGGAAAAATCAAATTTCCAAAAGCACAAGGGAAGTGTTTCTGGGGAGACAATAACCTGACGGACCAGTTGCAGGAACCAAAATATGCTAAGAACTGCACTGGGAGACACTTAAAAGAAGTGGAGGATCTATCGGTTTGTGAGGAAAGAAAAGATGAGAGTTAAGTGTGTTAGCCTGACTATTAGCCTAAAAATCCATCATCAGTATTAAATGAATCATGATAAAACACACCTAGCATGTTTTGGGTTCCTGCAACTGGTCCGTCGGGTTATTGTCTCCCCAGAAACACTTCCCTTGTGCTTTTGGAAATCTGTTTCTTTCTATTTGTGTTTTGTGTGCTTTTGCAATGTTTTTCTTGTTGCTGGTGTTTTCTTAAGTTAAAGTCCGTTTGTCCTCTCAGTACATTTGCATTTAACTACACAGACCAACAGTACACCACTAAATCTTTTCTTTCTTCTGTAGCCGTCGGAGGAGC